GCTAGTTTATTCCGGGACGTCAGGAAACTGAAATGAATTTTTTTTTTAGACTCAAGAATTACTTCACACAATCCGAAGGAGAAGAGCAAAAAGGATTAATGGACATAAAGATTGATTTAGAGAAAGCTTATGACAGAGTGAGTTGGAGCTTTCTCAGGGAAACTTTACATTACTTCGCTTCGGGTTCTCGCATAAGTGGATTGAGCTAATTATGGTCTGTGTTAAATCTTATAGCATGTCTGTGCTTTGTAATGGATAGAAGAGTGATTCTTTTAAACCTACTAGAGGTTTGAGACAAGGCGCTTAAAAGCCCTCCCTATCTTTTTCTATTGTGCATGGAGAGATTGGGGCATATTAGAGAGAGGGAAATCAGGCAAGGGAATTGGAAGCCCATATATGTTGGGCATAGAGGACCGGGTGTGTCTCATTTATTCAAAGCTGATGACCTTTTCTTATTTGGTCGAGCCACAGAGGATCAAGCCAACGTTATTAAGAGAGTCTTGGATGAATTTTCCCATGCATCGGGTGCTAAAGTGAGCCTTGAAAAGTCGCAACTATTTCTTTCTCCTAGTGCAGCAAAGGGGCAGGCAAGGTTAGTGAGCGGGTAATGGAGGGTTCTTTCTCTTCTCCCGAGCAGGTGGCGGGTTACGCATTGAAGCTTTGTTCTGACATCAAAGCAGCGTGGGCGGTGAGGACTACCACTGTGGCTCGGGTTCCGTCTTGGGTGAGGTGGATTCTGCCGGCATAGGGGTCTTTTGCGTTGAAGACAGATGGGTCCCTTTCGAGGTCGGGGGCATGGGCTGCGGGTGGCTTGCTACGGGATAGCCATGGCACTTGGTTTCGGGGCTTTCTTGTCTATATTGGTCGTTCCTCGGTTATCCATGCGGAGTTAGTGGGTATCATGTAGGGTTTACGGATGGCTAGGAGGCTTGGTATTACACGTATTGAGGTGCGTGTTGATTCGAGTCTTGCAATTCTACTTCTTGAGGATACTTTCGACTCATCAGGCCATGTGTTGGCTCATGTATTACTGGAGTGTAAGCAGCTGCTGC